ACCTCATGGGTGCAGTCCGCACTGTCTGGGTGAATGGACACACTTCTAGCTCTGACCCGGGCAGGGCAAAGACAATATATGTAATCTAAACATTTGTACCGCTGGGGTATTGTGAAAATAATAATAATAAAAAAATCACCAAAGAAATACTGGATTTAACTTTGACTTAAGTCCATTGACAAATGTACTTAATGGACATTTACAGAATATTTCATCCGACAGCTGCAGAATACACATTCTTCTCATCAGCACATTAAACATTATCCAGCATACATCATATGTTAGGTCACAAAACAAGTCACAGTAAATTTTTAAAAATCAAGTATCTTTTCAGACCACAATGGAATAAAACTGGAAATCAATACCAAGAGGAATGTCAGGACTTACACAAATACATGGAAGGTGAACATCATGATCCTGAATGACCATGGGTGGGTGGGGGTCAAAGAAGAAATTAACAAGGAAATTAAAACATTTCTTGAGACAAATGGAAATGGAAACACAACATAGTGAAACTTACGGTATACGACAAAGGCAGTGCTGGGAGGGAATTTCATAGCAATAAATGCCTACATTGGAAAAGGAGAAACATTTCAAATAAACAGTCTAAAAATGCACTTCAAGGAACATGAAAAGTAGGAACAAAGCAAACCCAAAATTAGTAGAAGGAAATAAATAATAAAGATCAGAACAGAAATAAACAAAATATAGATTTAAAAAAAATAATGCTAAGGATCAACAAAACAAAAAGTTGGTTTCTTGAAAAGATAAATCAATAAACTCATAGCTGGAAAAACCAAGAAGAAAAGAGAGACAACCCAAAGAAACAAAATCGGAATAAAAAAAGGAGACATCACAACGGATACCACAGAAATACAACAGATCATCGGAGGTTATTATGAGCAATTACATGTTGATAAACTGGAAGAGCTACAGGAAATGGACAAATTCCTGATGTGGGGGAAAATGCAAGTTCCACACCACATAACAGACACACTGTGGTAGCCTTGAGTGCTCAGCAGAATTGTTTCAAAGTAGATTAAGCAAGTACCAAGATTAACTACTGGGCCCAGTAAACGTGCCTGGCACTTTCTTGGGCAGCTCAGCACTTTCTTGCCCTGAAACGGCCAGCTCAGACAAGCCCCTACTGCTTGAAAAATGCTTTCACTCTCCTACAGTGCCCTTAGCTAGTTGTAAGACTAAAATCCTCACCGAATGGAAAGTTGTAATATCGTTAACATAACAGGGGTTGTATGATGGCCTGTGATGATGGTACTATGATTTGTTTCACTGTGAACAAGCAATGATGCAATGTAACAGCTCAGTGTCACTCTTTGGGAAGGGATTTAAGGCAACACCACAGGGTAGGCAGATGCAGATTTTGCATGTCAGGAAGCTCTTGTGGAAGAAATTCCCATGCCACCCAAGAGCAAGTGTCCTTGTAGGTAACCTCTAATAAACTCATCCAACTTGTCAAACTGGACTTGTCTGAGTCATTCTTTGGTTTCTCAGCTCCTTCTCAGTTTGGGGGTATGTTTTTCTATACTGTCCTGGGATTTTCCCAAAACACCTGGACACATACAACCTTTCAAAGTTGAATTAGGAAGAAATAGACAAATTCCAGACAATACATTACTTACCAAAATGTATGCCAAATAAAATAAAAGGAAACTCTTAGTAACTCTATTTCTACTAAAGAAATAGAAGCCTTAGTTTTAAAACATCACCAGGGAAATGAAAATCAAAACCACAATGAGATATCACTTATCTCCAGTGAGAATGGCCTTTATTAACAAGTCCCAAAACAATAAATGTTGGCATGGAAGCAGAGAGATAGGGACACTCCTACAATGCTGGTAGGACTGCAAACTAGTTCAGCCTCTATAGAAAGCAATATGGAGATACCTTAAAGCAATACAAGTAGATCTACCATTTGATCCAGCAATCCCACTACTGAGCATCTACCCAAAAGAACAAAAGTCACTCTATGAAAAAGTCACCTGCACTCGGATGTTTATAGCAGCACAATTCACAATTGCAAAGATGTGGAAACAGCCCAAGTGCCCATCAATACATGAGTGGATTAATAAAATGTGCCACGTGTATACCATGGAGTACTATTCAGCTATAAGAAACAACGGTGATAGAGCATCTCTTGTGTTTTCCTGGCTAGAGCTGGAACCCATTCTATTAAGTGAAGTATCCCTAGAATGGACAAATAAGCACCACGTGTACTCACCAGCAAACTGGTATGAATTGATCAACACCTAAGTGGACATACAGGAATAACATTTATCGGGTGGCGGGCGGGTGGAGGGAGGGGATGGGCATACACATCCATTATGAACGCGGTGTGCACCAACTGGTGGATGGGCGCACTTGAAGCTCTGACTTGAGGGGGGAGGAGGGAAAGGGCAATATACCTAACCTTAACATTTGTATCCCCTCAATATGCTGGAAAAAAATTCCATCTCCCCTATACTGCTAGGTCCTTACCTAGTTTGGGACATAAACATAATTAAAGGAGATAAAGCAATCTAAAAAAAAAAAAAAAAACTTCTAAAAAGAAAACTGGAGGCCCAGATGGTTGTACTGGTAAATTTTATAAAACATTTAAGGAAAAAATAATATTGATATATAGAAACTTTGTCCAAAAAATGGAGAAGGATAGAAATACTTCCCACTCATTTATAAGGCCAATATAATCCTGATTCCAAAACCTGACAAATCCATCACAAGAGAAGAAACTACAGATCCATCAATGTAATCACTAAGTAAATGGACTGAAGAATCACTTGGCACAGTGGCTCATACCTGTAATCCCAGTACTTTGGGAGGTCAAGGCAGGAGGAGTGCTTGAGGCCAGGAATTTGAGACCAGACTGGGAAACATAGCAAGACCCCATCTCTAAATATAATTTTTAATTAGCCAGGTGTGGTGGTGTGCATCAGTAGTCCCAGCTACTCAGTAGGATCCCTTAAACCCAGGAGTTCAAGGTTACAGTGAGCTATGATCACGAACTGTATTATAGTCTGGGCAAAACACTGAGACCCTGTCTCAAAAAAAGAATAGAAACAATACAATCATATTAATCAATGAAAAAAAAACATTTCAAAAAATTAAAAATCAATTACTGTGAAGATTCTCAGTAAATTCCAAATCAAAGGGCATTTCTCCAACCTGATATAGGCCTATACAAAAACTCCAAAGCTATTGTCATAATTAATGGTGAAAGACTAAATGTTTTCCCTACTGACATTCAGAACAACGCAAAGATGTGCATTCTCACCACTCCTAGAAGTGACACCATTGTCCTAGAAGTGCTCACCAGTGCAATAAAGCAAGAAAAAACCTAAAAGGTATACAGATCGAAAAGGAAAGAAAAATAAAGCTACTCTATGTGTAAAAAACACAACCCCCTGTGTACAAAATCCTAAGGAATACGCACAAGAGGAGACAGAAACAAAAAAACAAACAAAACCAAAAATATCCTAGAATTCAGGTTAGCAAGATCATAGGATATAAATTCAACTCTCAAAAATCAGTCATATCCCTACATATCAGCAATGGGCAATTAGAAGTCATTTTTGAGGTATTCTTTATAATATATCAAAAGTCATAAAAAATGAAATATAACAAAATGTGTGCAAAGTATGATGAAAACTACAAAATATTTTTTTAAAAATATAAAAAGAGGACCTAAATCAATTGAAAAATGTAAAATGTTTACGGATTGCAAGAATTAATATTGGTAAGAAGTCAACTGCTCTCAAAATAATGAATAGACTTATCACAAGTCTAATTAAAACACTTGAAGAGATTTTTCTTATTGGAAATGGACAAGCTGATTTTAAAAAGTATATGGAAAGGCAAATGAACTAGAATAGCAAAATAACACTGAGAAAGAACAAAGATGACAGATTCATATTACCTAATTTCAAGACTCACTATAAAGTTACAATAGTTTTTATAAAAGCATATACATATAGAACAATGGAACTCATCAAAGTTCAGAAATAGAGCCACTCAGACATGGTGAACTGATTTTACATAAAGGTGCCAAAGCAATTCAATGGGGGGGGGGGAATAATCTTCTCAACAGATAGTATTGCAACAATTAAACAGTCATATTGAAAAACATTAAAAAGATCCTTACCTCATACCATATACAAAATTAACTCCAAAGGGGTCATAAACATAAATGTAAAACTTAAAACTATAAATTTCTAGGAGAAAACATAAAAGTAAATCTTTGCAATCTTGGGTTAGGCAAAGATTGTATAGGTGCATCAACAAAAGACTGGTATACAAACTTTTTAAAATTACAAATTAGATGTCAGCAAAACTAAAAACATTTTTCTCGAAAATACTGTTGTGATGCCTTGTCAGTTTTAGCAGGAAAAAAAAAAAAGAAAAGAGAGTGGGCGCAGTGGCTCATGCCTGTAATCCTAGCACTTTGGGAGACCGAAGCAGGTGGATTGCTCGAGGTCAGGAGTTCAAAACCAGCCTGAGCAAGAGCGAGACCCCATCTCTACTATAAATAAAAAGGAATTAATTGCCCAACTTATAGAAAAAAATTAGTTAATGAAACAAAAATAAAAGAGAAGTACTGTTAAGAAAGTGAAAAGACAAGCCACAAACTAGGATAAATTATTCCCAAATGCTATATCTGATAAAGAATTAGTAACCGGAATATGTGAAGAACTCTCAAAATTTTTAAATAAGAAAATAAATAACCTAATTTAGAATTGGGTAAAAGATTCGAACAGACACTTTACTGAAGAAAATGTGTGGATGAAAAAGAAGCACATGAAAAGATGCCCAACTTCACTCGTCTTCAGAAATGGAAATGAAAATCACAATGAAATAATATGCCATATCCCCATTAGAATGGCTTTTATAAAACCCTGAAAATATCCTGAATGTGCAGAGCAAGGGAAACTCCTGTGCTCTGCCAGAGGGAATGCAAAATGGTGCAACTACTTTGGAAAACACTTTGCCAGTTTCTTATAAAGTTAAACATATGGTTATTATATTAGAGAGCTCAGGTTGTCACAAGATAATACAATAGACTGGGTGGCTTAAACAACAGAAATTTATTTTCTCACAGTTCTGGAGGCTCGAAGTGCAAGGTCAAGGTTCTGGCTCATTCTGCTTCTGACAAGGGCTGTCTCCTTGGCTTGGGGACAGTTGTCTTCCTTCTGCATCCTCACATGGACTTTCGTTGTGCCTGCACCAACAGAGAGAAGAGAGCGAGCTCTGGTGTCTCTTTTTATAAGGACACTAATCCTGTTGGATCAGGCCCACACCCTCATAACCTCATTTAACCTTCATACTTCTTTAAGGTTTCCAGCTTCAAATTCAGCCACCCAGGGGGTTAGTGTTGGGATATAGGCTAAGAGACATGAAAGGTTTCAGGAGTTTTGCAGGGCTTTGTCGTGAAGGAATCTGTGGACATGTGAGTTCACAGAATAGAAGCTGCTTCCAACAAGGGGGGCATTGTCAGAGGACATTTGCAAAGCAACGTTTCTTCGTTGCTGCCGACCCTCGCCTTGAGCTTTTTTGCAAAGAAGAAGCTTGGTTTGGGTTCTTGGCGGAGAAGCTGATTAAAATGCCTTCCCAGCAGATAACATTGCAGCTGGAGCTACCCTAGACTTCAAGGCTATTCCTGCTTCACTCCTGACCACGTGGCTCTGTGTTTGGAAGAATTACAGTAGTACACAGACTCAGTTGTCTCATTTTATGCATTTTATCTTTAATTTGTATGCTAGGTCTGTTTCTCACTCTGGGCTTAACATGCTTATCTTAGAAAAATTGTGTAACTGTCTATTCTTGTAGACAGAACTCGGTAGGTTCCCCTGGAAACCTCAAAAAGTGAGCTGTGCACGTACTTCTCTAACGAAAGACAGGTATTTGCTATAACAATAAACACTGATGGGGGACTTTGCTCGTGGGCTCACAGCTCAAGGGAATGCTGGAAGCCCCCACATTCCCCCATCATTTAAACTACACTTTGTCTCCGTCTCAATCATTTCTCTGGCTATATTATTTCTTCATTTCCTATTATTTCCAAATCCCTTGAGACGATCCTGCCTTGGGGCCTGTTTGCTGGGAGAGTAGCTAACTCCGGGCAGTTAGGGCTTCAACATGAGAATTTTAGGGGATACAAATATTCAGTCCATAGGATACAGCAATAAAACTCCTAGCTATTTAACCAAGACAAATAAAAAGTTATGTTTACAAAACCCTGTGTACAAATGGTTGCAGCAACTTCATTCATCATGCATGCACCTGGAAACAGCTCAAATGTCCTTGAACGGATGGACGGAGTAACAAATGGTGGTTCACCAAAACAACTAGATACTACTCAGCCACAAAACTGAGCACACTACTGACACACAAAAACCAGTGACTGCTAGAGGCTGGCGTTTGGATAGGGGCTAACTACAAAGGGGCACTAGGGACATTTTTTGGAAGTCATTGAACTATTTGATACCTTCACTGTGATGGTGGTTACCATACAGGATGCACATGTCAAAGTTAATAGAGGCAGCAGTCAAAATGGATGATTTTTACTGTATATAAAGTACACTTTAAATATTAAGAATCTAACAAAAGCTATGGGCTTTTTTACTATATTTCTTTTACTATATTTCTTCATCAAATAATAATTTTATTATTTGATGACCAGAGAACATGATCTCTAAAGTCTATATTTCATGCACTTCTTAAGGCTTTTATTACCATCAATGACATGTTTTAATTAATCTTAGTTAATTTTCTTGGACTTTAAGAGATATACATTTATATCGTATCATAAATAAGATACAATTATGTGTATGTGTGTTATTATATATGTGTCTATTTGTTTATTTGGTTAAGATTTTTAAATCATACTTTTTATTTCATAATTCCAACCCCTCATCATCACTATGTATTTTGGACCACTAGGATGATTGAGCTGGAGAAATGCATAATAAAATATTCCAGCAAAAGCACACATTTAGTAAAACACTGCTTGGAGCTCTAAGAGTTTTCAGCATTCTGTTTAGGGATTCTTACATTTTGCACACAGTTTCTCAACTGCTAAAATGTTTTTGTCTGTGATATATTTCATGATCACAAAGTATACCCCGCTCTGCGCTCCTCCTCTCACTGTTTTCCCAGACTGTGAACAGGCTAAGAAAAGGGAGCTTGAACATCCAAGGTTGTGCGGGAAGTGTCTGCACCAGAGCTGAGCTTCTCCTGCTCCAAGTTTCGGTGCCCAGACAGAATACAAACAACAGAAACTTTGAGTATCTCTAATGAGGACTTCTGAGGAATCAACCCTAGGGTCACCCAAATTAGCAACTAGCTCTGCCCTGATCCCTGTGGAAATCCCGCTGCCCAGGGATGGACGAACCTACTAATTTGCTCCCAATCCCCCAAGCCTGGCCTGCGGGCCCCACAGGGGCTCATGCTGTCTGTCCTCCAGTGAGAACGGGTGCCTCGATCTCCAGCCCCAGCTGAGAAATTCCCACCGTCCAGGATCCGGGGCCGGGTCTACAGAGATGGGGAGTCCGTGACAGCATCTGACAGCCGCGGACAGCAGCCGGGTAAGCAGGGCTGGGAGAGCTGGTGGGGCGCAGTCACCGCTGCCGCAGACAGACCCGCGTGGACACGCGCATAGCCAACATTTGGGAATAGAGACCCACTAGATCCCTTTGCATCTAGCCGCGTTCAGAGCGGGCAGCGACTCTCGGTCTGCCGTGTGCAGCCCTCTCCCCGTCAGGACGCACGTCCGCTGGGGACAGGCAGGCAGGTGGCACGGTGGGGACAGGAGGGGGGCCGTGGGAAGGGAAGGAGGCAGCGGGGCTCGCGGCGCCAGCATCAGCCAGTGTAGACTCCTGAAGCCTGGCCAGGAGCTCGGAGCCCAGAGCCCCTCTCCCCCCACCCAGAGAGAGAGTCTCGGTCCCCCACGACCGTGCGCCCCGCCCTGATGTCCACCTCTGTGCCACACGCTTGTCTGTGCTCTGCCACCTCGGCCTGTGGCCACTCCGGGAAGGAACCCCAGGGAGGCTACTCGGGTCCCTGCGGAGCCGCGCGGGTGCAGGCCGGGGCGGGGCCGGGGCCGGAGCAGCCCTGGTGTGAGGTCCGGGAGCCGGAACACTCAACGCTGCTGACAGGTCAGCTGTCGCCGCCACCGTCCCTGGGCGACCGACTCACAAGCAGGACAGCAGGATCAACTTGTCTAAGTCACAGGAACCGGACGCTTTGCCCAGGGCTGGCAGGAGCCGCCCCTCTGAGGCAGCCGAGGGCCGAGCGGAAGCAGCACCCAGAGGCCGGTGGCGAGTGTCCACTCAGGGTGACAGGCGTCTGCAGTGTGACCCACTCCCGGGACTCTCAGCGTGTTGGGTTCTAATCAGGACGTGACAGCCTTTGTCTTCTCGTAACTAATCTTCTCTCGGCTGCTTTCATTGAAACGTCCTGGCCAGACCCCAGCGTGCTGGGCATGACGCACTGAAGTCCCTCTCGGTCATCAATACCCACGTCAGCCGTCCCCCAGTCCCGCGTGTTTCCCGGCTGGAGGACGGGTGGCGGGGACGCGGGTTGAGGCCCGGTCTCCACCCCTGTCCTCTTCCGCCCCCGTCTCCCGAGCTGGTCGGGGAAGGAGGGTCCGGGAGGTGCCAGTCGCCACTGCGTAGGGACGCCGCCCCTCCTGCCGCCCGGCTGTCCCCGCTGCGTGGCCGGACTCGCCAGCTCCGAGGACGCGGGCAGACGGCTGTGCGGGGCCGCGTGTCCGGGGGTCTCTGGTGGGCGACCCCCGCCGTCACCCTACGCCGCACGGAGCCCCTGGCAGGAAGCGTTCGCATCCTTTGCAGGCGTCGCTTCTGCCCCGGGAGCAGCCCTGTGCTCCGAGCCGGTGCCTTTCTCGGGCCTCCCGCCACGCCCTGGTCGCGCCAGCACGCGGGGCTTCTCCGTGTCCCCACCCTGGCTCTGCTCTCTCTGCTCTGCTCAGAGCGCACGGGGTTTACCCAGACGTGCTTTCGCCCACGGGCGCGCGCCTGCAAGAACCAAACACTGTGTCCGCGTCCCCCCAGCGCCGCCGTCGCTGCGAGATCTCAGAGCCCTCCATCCGCAGGGCCGGGAGCCTCTGTCCCCTCCTGGTGCCTGTGACAGGAGGCCCGGCCCCTCCTCTCGACCGCCGCCCCTCCTGTCTCCCTTCCTCCGCGGGTCTCGCGGGCCGGGTCATCAGCAGACGCGGACGCACGTGGCCCACACCCGTGCCCGGGGCTCGCCCCGCGTGGTTTGGAGTCTTCACAGCTGGTCTTGCTGCGTCTCCCGCTTATCCGCAGGGGACAGACCGCACGGAGAGGCCACGCCACCCGCCTGTCCCCC